AAGTGGAGAATGACCTATTGTAGAAGATAGCAGCGATGATTACGATTTGGATGAAACCTCAACCCTCGGTAGCATTGACCTGCATGCAAATAGGGAATTTGAACACGAAGATTCTTTTCCTAGAAGAAGGGACTGTTGTTGGATGCTCTAGGGAAGGGTAAGTGTGGTGGTGGAAGAAAGGGGGAGATTTGGGTAAGGTTACAATGAAGAGAAGAGTGGGGAGGTGGATAAAATATGGGATCTGATTTGCACAAAATTTGAGGAACTCAAACAAAAGGAAGGCCATGTGGATGGGTACAGTGAAATGAGAGAGATGGTGGTAAGGAAGGGGTTGACTCTAATAGAGGAGGATTTCAAGTTTTATCTTTGGCTCCCATTGATGAGAGGGGTCAGGTGCATAGTTTTCAAGGCACCAAGGTGAGGCTAGGCGACACCTAGGTGTTGAAATTTTAAAATATTAATTTTCTTGAGTTTTTACTTTATCTATGCTTTTGTAAGCTATTTTATTGGTTTTGTGTGCTAACTAGCAAGCATGTACACTAACTATTAACTCTATAAATCATTCAAATGAGTATAAAACTATAAATTTCATATAACTAGCAAGCATGTACACAGTACACTAACTATACACTAACTAGCAAGCATGTACACTAACTATTAACTGAAAAAAAAAATAAGTGCAGGAACTAGGAAGGGAGGAGAGGAGTATAGGGGCGGAAGAAGAAGAAGTATAGGGGCGGAAGAAGAAGAGGAAGAAGAAGAAGTATAGGGGATTAGGGGCAGGGAGGAGTATAGACCCCCATTTTTTCAAAAAAAAAAGGGATTGAGAGTCTGAGACTATCGACTGAGAACAGTCAGGGGCAGAGAGGAGTATAGGGGCAGAGCCCCTGTTTTGAAAAAAAAAGGTACTGAGACTAGGACTAGCGACTGAGAACAATCAGGGGCGGAAGAAGAAGAATGAGTGGAGCTGTGGAGGAAGGGAGGAGTATAGGGGCGGAGCCCCTGTTTTTTTGAAAAAAAAGCAAAAAATGACTGAAGAAGAAGGGAAAAACTTACCTGCTGAAGCAGAGGTGCGATGGAGTTGGGCTGGGGAATGAAGTCTTCGGAAAAAGGTTTTGTATTGTTATCTTAATAATAAAATAATGATAGTATGTAACCGGTTTTATTTTAAAAGAATAAAACATCTAATAAAATATCAAAATAACAAATTAAAAAAAAAATATTAGATGTATGTAGGCGCCCGCCTAGTTGCCTAGGCGCTTGCTTAAGTCTTTGGGTGTGCGCCTAGTATACAAAATCCGGGGCGTTTGGGTGAGGCGCCCATGGAAAACCACCTAGTCGTCGCCTTGACAACTATTTGAGCTGTCAGGGAGATTTAGAGTTTAATTTGTGATATTAAGGGAGATTTAGAGTTTAGTGGTAGGGGAGATAGGAGGAAGGGTGCAAAGTAAGGAGGTGTGGTTTGTGTTTGAGGGCTTTCTTCTGATTCATGGCTATGAAAATAATTAGTTGGAATGTGAGAGGATTGGAGAGTGCTAGGGAAAGGAGGGTGATTAAGGATCTAGTCAAAAGGGAAAAGTTTGGCATTGTGCTATTACAAGAAACAAAATATTAGATTTGGATGGAAGATGGGCAAGGAGTGTATGGAGGTCTAGAGGAGTAAGTGGGACCTCAGCCCCATCTTGGGGAGCTTTACAAGGGATTGCCAATGAATGTGTGGAGGAGATGAAGAGATCTAGGCAAGGTGGTGTAGCTGGATGTTTGGTTGTGTTAGTACTTGCCATTATTCCATCCAAGTTAATGGGGTGCTAAGGGATTTTTTCTTTTTCAATTTGTAAGGGTATTAGACAAGGGGATCCACTTTCACCTTTCCTTTTTTACCCTAGTAGCTGATGTGCTTGGTTGAATCATCACCAGGGCTGATAGGGAAGATGTTATAAGGGGATGGAAAATAGGCAGAAGTCGAGTCCTAGTTACTCATCTCCAGCTTGTAGATGATTTGATGTTTTTTTTATTGTGATGGTTATTGAGAAGGTAGGAAACCTAAAAGACTTGATTAGAGGCTTTGAAAAAATTTCCAATTTGAAAATCAATCTAGAAAAGAGATGCATAGCGAGTATCAATTTGGAGATTGAGTGTTCTATTTCTTCTTCGCCTTTGTCCTATTTAGGGCATCCATTAGGGGCAAACCCTAGGGAGAGTAGGTTTTGGACTCCAGTAACAGAGAAGTTTGAGAAGAGATTAGCCTTGTGAAAGAACAATTATATTTTTCTAGGTGGTGGGATCACTTTGATGAGAGCTACCTTGGCGAACCTACCTACTTACTACCTTTTTGTCTTTGGGATATTGCTTAGAGAAGCAAAGAAGTTGGAGAAAGTGATGAGAGACTTTCTTTGGGAACCGGGAGAAGGTAAAAAAAGATCATTTAATTAGATGGGAGATTGTGGGTAGAAGTAAAGAGGAAGGGGGATTATGTCTAGGAAATGTGGTTCAAAAGAATTTGGCATTGTTAGGGAAGTGGTTGTGGCGGTGGCTCTTGGAGTGGGAGAGGCTTTGGCATGAAGTGGTGAAGAGTATACATGGATGTTTAGAGAATGGGTAGGATGCTGGTACATCAAGGAGGGTTAACTTGACAACACCTTGGAAGTCAATTCATAGATTTTTTTTGTAGTTTCTCAATTGTGTTAGGTATGATGTTTGTTTTGGAAATTCAGTTCGGTTTTGGGAGGACACTTGGGTCAGAGAAGTCTGGTGTAGGCTGCTTCCTTTTTCAAGCTCCTTTGCTAGACCTCCATTCAACAGGTTTTCCCCTTCAAAGAAGTCTGGTGTAGGCCGGTTCCCCCCAAGGTTATGGCTTTTTGTTGGGAAGTGTTCCATGGGAAAGTGAACACTTTAGACAACCTACAAAAGAGAAGATCCTTCCATAGTATTTCACCTAATTGGTGTACTCTTTGCAGATCTCGTGGTGAGGGCTATTACTATTTATTCTTATCTTGTACTGCCATTGCAGAGCTTTGGGTATGGCTTTTCTCTTTGTTTGGGTGCAAGTGGAATATGCCAGCAGAAGTAAGCACGATCTTTAACCTTTCTACCTTCATTTGGCCCCATAAAAGAGGTAGAAATATGTGGAGGTGTGCGAGAGCAGCTTTGATTTGGACAATTTGGGAAGAAAGGAATGCCAACATCTTCCAAGAAAAGGAGAGGGGCTGCCAAGCTTTGAAGGATTGTATTATGTATAGGGCAATACACTGGTTATAGATCTTGGAACTCTTTCACCAGTTCTCTTTTATTAACATATGGAAGAACCAATTAGTAGTAGAAAGTTGCTCCTCTTCAAAGGTTAGGGTAACTACAAGTTGCCCCCCTCCCCCCTTCTCAAGGCTCAATGAAGCTGGATGTTATGGGAGCAATGTTTTAAAATGCGGAGGCGTGATGCGAGGCGTTCCACTACCTAGAAGCGTGAGGCATAGTTCAGAACGCAAGAGGCGTAAGCTTATGCCTCCTTAAGAGGAGTGGGGTTAGGACGAGGAAGGAGAGGAGGATGAAGAAGGAGGGATCTCATTTTTTCTTTATTTTTAATAAAAATCTTTTATATTAAGAAGAATAAAGATGAATAACATTAGTTGAAAGGGGAGGGGGGTCCGGAGCAGAGCAAGACCCCCCTAACTCAAAAAAAAAACAAATTGGGCTGCATCAAAAAGGGGGCGAAGCCCCCCAGCTGAAGGGGCAGGGGGCAAACCACTTTCTTTCCCCTTATCTTTTCTTCCCTTCCTTTTCCTTTCCTTTTCTCTCTCTCTCTCTCTCTCTCTCTTTTTTCTTTCCCTTCCCTTTCTTTTCCTTTCCTTTTTTTCTTTTTTTTTGTCTTTTTATATAAATGTGCATGAGGCGTACGCCTCTAGCACGCCTCATGAAAAAAGTGCATGAAGTGTACGCCTCTTGCACCTGAGGCATACACCTCAGAGGTGTCAGCGCCTCCGCCTCAAGGTGTTTTGGGAGCGCCTCACCTAGAGGCACGCCTCCAGGTGTATGCCTCCCACGCCTTTTAAAACATTGGATGGAGTGGCCAGGGCAACATTCTTCTTTACTCTGGCCACTTGGGCTTTGGGAATTCTGTTAGGGCAGAATTACTAACAGCCATACAAGGAGTATTTCATGCAAAGGAATTGGGTGTGAAGCATCTGGTGATTGAAGGGGATTCTAAGGTAGTGGTGGAATGGTTGAAGAATCCTGAGAATGTCATGTGGTGCTACAAGAATGAGTTAAAAAAATTCAAGTGGTTGACAAGGAATATGTCTGTAGCAATACAGTTGGTGGGGAGATTAGCTAATGCCTCTGCTGATGTTTTGGAAAAACAAGGGGCAAATAGGGAAACTTTATTCTGGGCTCAACTGTAATTTTTTATTAGAATTCATGTATTTTATTCTTTGTTTTCTGTATATTCTGTTTGGAGATGTGACATCTTGTGCCTCTCCAAGGGACTTTTCATGTAATCTGTTTCACATTAATGAAAATTTGATATTTTAACTATAAAAAAAAGGAATGTATACTGGATATCAAAGAGAGCAAATACATAATTCTGGAGCACCAAGATGAACCTATGCTGGATAAAATATGACTCATTAATTCTCCTTCAGCAAGTCACGAATCCTATCCTCAAATCTGATATATTTTTCGGTACATGGGAGTTATGACCAAATTGTGATAGGGACTTGATGTAGGAGAGGATAATAACTTTTTAGAAGTTTCTTAATTATTTTTTGGTAGTGGAGAGTTCTTCAAAAGTAGAAACCAAAATCTTATGAGTCTCGAAAGATGTGAAGAGGTCAATCAAACTATCAAAGCTAATTAATTTGTCATTCCTTCTAAATAAAGTTGGTTTCTTTATCTTGCATCAAAATTCTTTTCTTTGTGACGACTTCATGTGGCCTTTCTGCTATGATTTGAAGTTCATTTACCTAGTGTTGTTTAACATTTGAGCAAATTTGATTTGTTATGAACAGGTACTCTCCAGAGCAGTTATTTGCAGTGGTTGCAGCTGTTGATCTGTATGAAGATTTTGTTCCATGGTGTCAGCGATCAGAGATACTTCGACGCAATGATGATGGATCTTTTGATGCTGAGCTGGTGATTGGTTTTAAATTTCTTGTTGAAAGTTATGTTTCCCATGTAGAGTTGAACAAACCCAAGTCTATAAAGGTAATTGCCTGTTCTTAAATTTCTAAAATTTTTTTCTTAGAGAATTTTCCCTGTAATCTCCTTCCTTTATCTTTTGGCAAAGATATAGAAGTCAGTTAATGCTATAATCATAGGCTTGAAATTCAAAGCAATGTGACTCAGAGATTTATGGAGCAGTCCAACTTATGGTGTCACTTATAAGATGTCAAAAAATAATGCATTGTTTTTGATGCATAAAAATAATACATTGTTTCTCTTGATCAAACTTCAAATAGTTCTCTTACAAAGTTGCACCATCATACTCCAGAAACTTGACCACCAATAAATCATAATTGTTACCATTAAGGTAGGCCCAAGTTATCACTCAGCTGGATTTGGAACAAAAAGGAAGATATACAAGTGAAGATACCTGAAGGGGAAAGAGTCCAAATCCGGTGGTCACTTTTTGAGGGGTCCAAGAAAACCCCCTGAAGACCTTAGATCAAAGGTCTAGCTAACCTATTTCAAAGTCACACAATCCTCTTCTAAGCCCCAAGTCCTAATCAAACCCTCAGCTAGAATTAGAAGGAACCACAAAGGAAGCAATACGCTCATCCCTTTGGTTAGAAATTGCATAAAGGGAAGATAATTGTTCTTTTAGGGGTGAGTTGCCCATCCAGACATGATCTCGAAATTTTACAAGATTACCAGAACAAGGATTATAACTGATATATGGTAAAAAAGAAGGTAGGATAGCATGGATAGATTTCCATGGAGAAGCTCTTGTAGCCCTAGCCAAGACTCCAACATCCCAACCATCAATTGCAAGCCCATGAATACTAATGATTATCTTTACCCACAAGTTGTCCCTATCAATTGGCAATCTCCAAAGCCACATAGCTAGCAAAGCAACACTTCTTCCTAAATATTCCCCAAACCTAGCACACCAAACTTTTTGCTTATTCTGACCACTTCCTAGCTAACTCCATAGTCATTTTTCTCCTTCCCTATCTCCCACAAGAAATGCCTCATCAGTTTTTCCAGCCTCTTACTAACCTCTTTTGGAATCCTAAACACTGATAAAAAATAAACTAGCAAGTTGGCTAGAGTGGACCTAATTAGGGTGATCCTCCTCCTCAAGGACAAACAACTTTTCTTCTAGGATGCCAAGTTTTTAGTAAACTTCTCAATTACCGGATTCCAAAAACTATTGCCTCTTGGATTATCCCCCAAAGGTAAACCCAAATAGTTCATCGGTCATTGAAAAACCTTGCATCCCAAAGTTTCTGCCCCTCTACAATTTGTCTTTCCTCCATATTCAAATCCACTTGACAACTTTTTTTTTTGATCAATAACTTCGAGAGAATTTCATTAATTAGAAAACTTTAGGATACAACAAGAAGGTGTGAAAGAAATCAGCTTAGTAAGCTGACCTAGGACAGAATTACAAATGTGCCCAAAACATGTGTTCTTTGAACCCCTTGCTTTGCTAAGCTATCTGCCAAACTGTTGGCAGATCTCCTAACCCATCCCACCTGGATTGACATGTTCCTTGACATCCATTTAAATCTTCGGAAATCATTCTTCAACTGCCATGTCACCCCTACCATGTCCTTGACGTCCCACTTGGATTGCTTTGCTATGCTATCTGCCATGTCATTCCACTAAAATTAGGTGTTTTTTGTTGGGAAGTTTACTACGGTAAAATCAATACGATGAATAACTCACAGAAGAAAAGACCTTTCTTGTGTTTATCCCCTAACTGGTGTACTTTGTGCAAAGCGCAAAATGAGGACTGTTACCACTTATTGATTTCTTGTCCTTTTGCTGTAGCCATTTGGAATTGGGTATTTGATTTGTTTGAGTGCAGGTGGAACTTGCCAACTGAGGTAAATTTGCTGTTTTCCCCATCTACCTTTGTGTGGACCACAAGAAGAGGGAGAATTATGTTGAAGTGTTTAAGAGCATCTCTCCTTTGGACTATTTGGGAAGAGAGAAATTCCAGAATTTTTCAAGAGAAGGAAAGAACCATTCTTGAGGTCAAGGAGTGTATTCTTACAAGGGCTATTTCGTGGCTGAAATCCTTAAAGCTCTTTGAAAATTACTCCTTTGATGATTTAACGAGGAATTGATCTGCAGTTTCCCTCACTTCCTCTAGGAAGCCTAGAGTTCAGGTAACTTGGACTCTGCCGATGGAGGGTTTTGTTAAGCTGAACTTTGACGGGAGTAGTCAGGGTAACCTAGGACCGTCTGGGATTGGTGGTGTACTGAGAAATGAGAACAACAACATCATTGCCCTTTTTTTCGGGACCGGTGGGAATAGGAGACTCTGTGAGGGCTGAACTCCTAGATGCGGCACAAGGGATATTCCAAGGTGGTAGTAGGGTGGTTGGCTGACCCGGGTACTGTCACTTGGGACTTTAAGGATATTTAAAAAAAGGTTAAATGGCTATTGAGGGACATGACAGTTAGATTTTAGTGGATGGGTAGATCGGCTAATGCCTTGGCTGATTATCTTGCTAAACAAGGGGCTACTCGGGTCTCCTTTTATTGGGCTTCTCTGTAATTTTCTTTGTCCTTTGTTATGTTTATTAACTAAAGGGTTGATGGTATCCTCCACTTCCCCTCCTTAAAGGGGAGGTAGCATCTCGTGCCTCTCCCTAAAATGTACTATCTTTGGCTATGAATTAATAAATCTTACAATTCACTGATGAAAAAAACTGCCATGTCACCCCTTCCCCTTTCTGCAACCATTTTATCACAGTTTTTGAGTCTCCCTCAATGATCAGTCTATTAATACCCAACTCTTTCGCCTTCTCAATCCCGTATGCTGCAGCTAGAATCTCTGCCCTTGCCACATCACCCTCCTCCACAGGACCGGAGTACAAGACAACTTTTATCCCAGTTAACTTTCAGGTTCGACATCATTTCAAAAATACGTACAATCATTTTCAGGTTTTGCACCCACCTAGGATCACCTCCACCACAAAGCAGAATTGTATCATCAACAAATTGTAAGTGGGTGATTGGAACCTTTCCTCTACCTACTCTCCAACCCCTAATCAAATTTCTAGCATTGGCCCTAGAAATCAATCTTCTAAGCTTCTTTACTATTAAGGTAAACAAGAAGGGGGAAAGGGGGTCTCCTTGCCTTAGCCCCCTAAGGGCCGCAAAATGATCCACAACCTCGGATCATTTATTCAATTTTCATTTCAATCTAAGTGGTATTTGTCTATCACATAAGACTTCTGGTGCACCCCTCCATTTTGCCCACCCCGCTCTAATTCTTTGGGTGACACCCTCCTCAATCTCTCCCTTGTTATGATTCAACCAAGGTATCGTAAAAGGTTACAATGTGTTATCTCTTGATCTTCAATTCTAATTGTAACCTTATTTGCACTCCTATTATTATTAAATTTACATATTGTATATTCTTCTTTAGCCCTACTTATTTTAATACCTCTTGTTTCTCAGGATTTTTTCCATCGACTTAATTTTGCATTTTGTTACTTTCATCAATTAGAACAATTCCATGAGCGAACAACATGCACGACCTCCTCTTGAATATGATTAATCAATTCATCTACGACCAATGCAAATAAATAAGGGCTAAGTGTTGAACCTTGGTGTAATTGCAAAATTTGATGTCTCTCCCACGTGTTCTAACATTGGTTATTGCACCCTCATACATATTCTTAATTAGGTATATATACCAATTAGGGATTTTGTTCTTATCCAAGATCGGACATATTATCTCTTTGGGGACTCTATCTTTTGCTTTCTCAAAATCAATGTACATCATATGGAGATTTCTCTTCTTTTCTCCGAACTTTTCTTATCAATTGTCTCAAAAGAAAGATAGCTTCATGGTTGATCTCCCATCTATAAACCTAAATTGGTTCTATGATATACTTGTTTCATGTCATAATATTTGCTCAATTAATCTTTCCCAAAGTTTTGTGGCTTATGGGTTTAAACCCTCGATAGTTATTACAACTTTGTATTATCACCTTTGTTCTTAAATATTTACACTGCTTTTTCTTCATTCATCAAGCATCTTATTTTCTTTCATTATTTTATTAAATAGCTTAGTGAGCCATAATAAGCCTACTTCTCCCATACCCTTTCCACCCTTCTATTTGAAAACCATCTGGTTCTAACACCTTTCCCTTCATCTTATTTAGAGTCTATTTCACTTAAGCAATTCTAATTTTATGAAGTTACATGCCATTTCTAACACCATTAGTATGATTATGACTAATATCTCCTTTGCTAGTGCCCTCTACATGTTTTTTCTTCACTTTTATGAAAACTCTTTGATCTTCATATTTAATACACCTAACAATGTTTAAATCTTTGCCTTTCCTTTCTCTCATCTTTGCTAGTTTATAAATTATTTTTTCTCCCTCTTTAGTGCCTAATTTATGATAGAGCTCATTGTATGCCTTAAAATTTAATTTCCGGACTCAAAAGAGAAGGAAATCAGAAGGCTTTACATGAGATTAAATCTGTATAGTTGATAGGTAATCATGGTGTGAGTTTTAAATTTTATGCCCAAGTTGTAGGGAAAAGATGTGGGCCTCATCAGAAATGATGACATGTGGAAAGGAGTTGATGGATAGGGCTGGTTAAGGTATAAATAAAACCAAACATGGGATTAACCAATCTGACCCAAGCAAGCTGGTGAAGGAGAATGGGATTATACAATTTGACTTAAGTAGGCATGTGATGTTGACAATGATCTTGCGATGATAGACAAACAGTTGAGTCTTTCATCTTCTTCCTTGGGACACATCACCAGCAGACTTGCACAGAAAGATCACAAACTGAAGTAAACTTGTCTTTCACAGACAAATCCAATCGTAGGTATTGCTGAAAGAAGAAGAAGAACTACCAGGAAGATAATTTTGAGAGCAGCACTTGTTTGGACAATTTGGGAGGAGAGAAATGCTAGAATTTTTAAGGAGCAAGAAAGGAATAAAGGGGAAGTTACTGAATGCATTCAGATAAGGGTGGTACATTGCCTCGAGATTTTGGAAGCACTTTCTCTCTACAGATGACGTTATAAGGAAGTGGTGAGAAGTGGCTGGGAGATGTCTAAAAGGCCTTGGGTTAAAAAACTTGACTCCCCCAGATGGGGTCTTCTTAAAGCTTAACTTTGATGCCAGGAGTTTGGCCAACCAGAGTCCCTCTGGGTCTGGGTAGGAATGTTTAGAGATGAGGAAGGTCATGTAATAACATTGTTTTCTAGACCCATTTGAGAAGGGGATTCCATAAGAGTAGAGCTACTATGAGTACTGTGGGCAAAGCAAATGCAAATAGGTAAATTAATTATTGAAGGTGATCCAAAGGTTTGGATGGTTGCTGAATAGGGAGAGAGCTCTATGGCAGTAAAGAAATGAAACCAAACAGTTTAAGTGGCTAACAAAGGAAATGTAAATTTTAAAGCCCAATGGTAAAATGATCAGCTAACGGCATGACAGACACTTCAGCTAAACAAGGGATAGAGAAGGATCAATTGTTTCGGGTTCAGTTATAATGGGAGGGATATATATTTGTATACATGCATACATAAACATATACATTTGTGCCAGTTTCTTTTCTTGATCAATAACTGTGAAATTTCATTGAAAGAAGATAAAAGAAAAGTGAGTACAGATACAGAGTACAATCAAGAGATAAAACCGCTCATCTCTCCCCAATAATCCCTTTTCACTTTTTAATTTTTACAATTGAGCCCAGAATGCAAACTTCTTTTGACCCATTGTAATCTCACTTCCATATCTTGTGTCAACCATTTGAATTTCTTCCTTTCATTGTTGTAGTTCTAGAATTTTGCCTCCTCCCTTTTCAGCCAATCCATAACCAATTTGAAATCTCCTTCAATAACCAGTTTTCTATATTCATGTTCTTTGCCTTTGTACCCCATTTATGTCAAATTTTAGTGTGGGCTGATTGACCAACCTGAGCTTGACCCGGGCCCGAGCCAACCCTAGTGTATCAAATATCAGTGCAGGCTATCCCAGGTTGGAAAGGTCAGGCTTGACCTTGTGCTTGGTCAGGGCTTGGGCCTTATGTTCAATTCTTTGGGTTGGGCTAAAACCTTGCCAACCTGCCTGACTTGCTCCCCTAAGACCGGGAAAGAGAATAAATTTCACAAACATCATTGTAGAAGGGGATTCAGGAGTGGCTGTGGGGTGGGTTCAAAGCGAAGAAAGATGTCCTTGGCAGTACAAACACTTATTGAGAGAAACAAAAGAACTCAAAAGGGACAAAGTGGTTGCAATACATTGCGTTTACATATCTGCAAATGAGCAGGCAAAACAAGGGGTAGGAGAGAATCTATTTTGGGAGGATGTCTTATCTATTTTGTTTCTGCTTATTTTCATTAACAAAATTTGTAATGGTACTCTTAAAAAAAGACTATTTTAAGATATATTAAGACCCATAGTAGGAGCTGTATTTTATGCTGTTCCTTTTTCTTGCTCCCATTGGTACTTTTTTCTTTTTTTTTTTTTTACTTTTTTGCTGTGGTGTATTTAATGATCAAAGATGTTCCTTTTCCAGACAACTGCAACCGAAAGTGGTCTTTTTGATCATTTGATAAACATTTGGGAGTTTAATCCAGGACCAGTTCCAGGGACTTGTGATCTTTATTTCTTGGTGGACTTTAAATTCCAGTCACCTCTTTACCGTCAGGTATTGTTCATCTGATTAAGTTTATTTACCTGAACACTGAAATAATAGCTATTATGATGCTGTTAATCTTCTTTCATAGCTTGATTATTGGTAGTATTAGAATTATTGTCTACATATATGGTGGGATGAGGAGACTGTTGTCCTTTGATGCAACTAAAAAAAGGAGGAAAACAAGTAACCTTTTCTCAAAAGAGAAAAAAAAACTTGTGTAGAACCACAATACCACTCATGTAATGTTGTGCAGGTCATGCTATTGGCTGACTGCTATTATGGTCCATAATGGGTTTTTATTTCTTCTTATGGAGGGGAGCTTGAGGTTAAAACTATATTCAAGGCTGTTATAAATGATTTCCACTTTGTTTTCCATAAAGAGCATAACTTAAATTTATTTTTTACCTCTTTTAGGGTATGCACCTTTCCTAGGTCTCAGGCACAGCTCTTTAAGGTGAGTGCCTGGTGTGCCTTGCTGATGCAGGAGCTTAAGAGTCAAGATTGAAATTTTGTGAAATTTTATGTATTTCTGTATTTTTGGGCACCGGGGATTTTTTGCCATTTTACAATTTTTTCTGTAGGGTCCAATAATAAGGTTTGATTGAAAATTTATAGTTTGTTTATGTTTAAGATTTCAGAGTCATTACATAAGTAGGATTAGAGTTATTGAGTCTTCTTTGAATTGAAATAGCATGACAGCTTAGTTTGAGTCCTACTAGGATTATTGAGTCTAACAGTTTTGACTTCTAGGACTATTATAAGTCTAACAGCTTGACTCCTAGAATTATTATGAGTTTAGAGTCTATAAATATGTATGGTCGTTTTACACAAAGAGCAATGAAATTTATTGAGTTTTTTTCAGCTTATGCTAATTATAGTGAGTGATTCCTATACCCTAGAGTGATTCAATGTATTTTCTCTCTTCTTTCTATCCTTATTTTCTTTCTTATTTCTTCAAGAAGCCATTACAACCATCAACAGCCATAAATTTCTGATCAAAGAAGGCCATTCAATATTCTCAAAGGACTAGAATTGAGCTGGTCCTACATTTTACACTTCAGCTCAGGCGTGTGCATTTTGAAAATTTGTGCATTTTTTCTGTTTTTTTATGCCTAGCAGCTGGGCCAGGGGCTCCACCTTCGGACCCTCGACCAAGCCCCTCGAGGCAAGCCAAAACAAGTCTATATTGCGGATTAAAAGATATTTTTAAAATTGTAAAATATTGCTCATTCATTCATCATAATAAAATGTGAAATGTAGAGCTATGTGAGAAAGGAGTGTGAATGTGATTGAGGTGAGTTTTCCACTACTACCATTAATATGTGAAATAAACAATAAGGTTTTAAATGTTGTCTTAGAGAGTGTCCACTACTACAATTAATAAAATGAACAACACAAGTGTTATTCATTTGATTATAAGAACACATAAAACTCAGTATAAGGTTTATTCATTCTTCTGATTAGAAGAATAACATGTTCGTACAGAAGGCAACTCAATGTGTGAGTGTGACTAGGTGCATTTTACTTACAGGCATGAGTGTCCAGATTGAACCTTGGCATAGCAAACCTACTTTTTCTAATGTTAGCCTTATACATGTATTATTACCAACAAGTGGAAGTTATATATAAAATCTGATATTGCAGAAGAAATAAAAAGTCTACCAATTTCTTTTGGATCTTCCTATCCTTGCTGGTGAATTAGCAAGGCCATTGGCTGGTCGAGGAATCAACCTTAATGAGCTGTTAAACCTAGACACAAATGTCTTTGCTTCTGTATTGGATTGCTATCCAATCACAACTTGGTGGTTTCTCTCAATGATCAAAGCATTCCAACCTGATGATGAAGGCCAACTTCAAAACGGGAAAGATTCTCAGTTCTTAAAGTTCCTTTCCCAACTGGACTGGAATAGTTAAAGATTGTCAAAATAAGAGTTGCCCATATGGTATGAAAACACTTCCTAGTTCCCACATATGTTGGACCATATTACTGAGAGAGTAGCCTTCAAAATTGAAGTTTTTCATTCCAAAATATGGTTCCATTCAAACCTGATTCGCCTGTCTTGTGGATTATATTACAAACTACCACATCCCAATACCTAAGGATAGAGTCCATAGATACACCTTTGAATGTTTTGTTGTTTGTTTTTTGGTCAGCATACTTCTTTTGATTCATCTCTAGTAGATTTCTAGGGAACCACTGATGCAGGAGCCAAATAATCAATGCTTTAATTTTCTATTTTTTATGTATTTCTGTATTTTTTTTGAACAGTAAGGGTGTTTTGGTCATTTTAATTTCTTTATGTGGGATCCAATATATTAGTTTAAATTCTACTCATAGTTTAGTTATATTTAAATTTTTAGTCATTGGTTAAGTAGGAGTTATTTAGTTTTCTTTAAATTTCTAGTGATAGTTTAGATTATGCATATAATTAAAGTTGCAAAATGGGCAATGAATTTTGGAGCTTATTTTCTGCTTGCATTGCTTGTGGTGAGTGATTGTCCAAAGCCCTAGAGTGATTATAGGATCCCTAGGAGTGATTCCTAGCTCTCTCTCTCTCTCTCTCATGGTTTTGAGTGCAGCCACCCACACACCCACAGTCATCAAAGACTTGGGAAATTACTATCAAAAGAAAACATTCATCATCAACTAAAGGACTGAAGGTGCCAGCTAGCCTGCTGGTCTCTAGCTTTTCTTAGCGGAGGCCTGGAATTGAGTCCTGCCTTCCTGGATTGTGTGTGGGGGGGGGGGTGGGTATAGGGGTTTGGGGGGGGGCTACCCCTTGTTATATAGCCCATTTGTCTACCAAAAAAATCATCAACTAAAGGACTGAGTTGATTCTGGGTAAGTCTCCTCTCCATTCCCTTCTCAACATCCAGAACACCTTTTCTAGAGAGAAAATTATTCTTTAAAGCTTCCTTATCAAACCTTGGTGTAGATCAGATCTTATTCAGCCGTTCCCCATATCTAAGGCTTTTTTTGCCATTTTTGAGAAATTCCCACTAAAAACCTAGTTCTCTAAAGTTTCTAATTTTGAGAGATATCATCTTTTTATGCCCAACCTTGTAAAACCTCTCCAAATTCAAAACCCTGCTTTGGTTCAAAACCTTCCTCTAAACAACTTAAAGAAATCCCATGCCAATCTTGAGATATTGAAATTTCCTTATTTTCTCTCCAGAGATTTCTGCCTGTGGATTTTTGACATGATAAGTCTTGTTTCCATAATGAAAAGCTTTTTTTTTTTTTTTTTGAAACCCATAATGAAGGGCTGGTGGCATCCATGAAATTCTCATGGTATTCTGTTTTGTATAGAATGTTATTCTTTTCTTTTTGGTTCATGGGCCTACAAAAGGGGGGTAGGTCATCACTCCCCTGATGCTGGTGACAGCGGGATTTGATCTCAAGTCTCTGCCACAACCAGCCAGAGACCTTACCCAATGTTGGTCCCGGCTATCTTTATTATAACACTTGCTAATATTTCACCTTTGAAGAAAAGCATCTGGGAATCTCTGAAATTAAATTTGTATTCATTATCTGGTTCTTTTGCAATAGGTGGCATCTATGTTCTTTAAGGAGGTTGTCTCTCGTCTCGTGAGTTCTTTTACTGATCGCTGCCGTCTAATATATGGACCTGGGGTCCAAGTCCTTGAAAACTCTTATGGAGGACAGAGGGCATAAAAATGGTTTTCATTGAACCTGACATCAGAACCAGAGAATACCGACCTCATCAATTTGCTGCCTTGGACGCATGCTGTGAGGTCATCTAACTCTTTTAGAGGCTCGTACTGCATTGCACTCCAAGAATTGCTGTTTACCTATTTTCTCAAGTTTAGTTTGTAGATAGTGAATTTTGGTGATTACAGTATGAAAGGTTAAAAGGTCCATTTAAAATATTCTGGTTTTACACCTCAACATATATTTTTTGGCTAACGGATTTTCTACCTTGATTTTCTGTAGTGCTTTAGTCCTCTGGTGGGATGTTATTCCTCACGTTATGTAATTGGGCTATTCTTCTACTTATGTAGTAATATTAGTTCCTCTTTCATGTATAATTGTACATCATTATTATAACATTTATCATTACCATCTAGTGATTAATATACCATTGAAATGCCACTCAGAAAGGCCTTGCAATAATGTTCAGATCATGTAGTAGAGTCCTAGCGGCTTCTGGACATAGCACTTTTAGATGTATATCCAAGTTCTCAATCCTTGTTATACTGAGGTTATATCCAAGGGTAAAAAATATCAGTATTATGTATTGTATCAGTAAACTTGAAAATGGATTCATATTTTGGTATGCTTGGAAGTTTGAATATTTGTGGATATGGTGGGAAGATATGAATAGGCTTGAATACATTAAACTTTCACAAATGCAACGAATACATTAATACTAAATCTAAGGTTGAAATTAAGGTATAAATGCATAACAATTTTTTTTTTTTTAAAAACGCATATTTCAATCAATCAAGTTGATACAAAAAATAATGCCGACAAGGCTCAGATACAATTTTTCAAAAGAACAAAATATATAAATGGATGAAAGAGGACAAAGAACTTCTTCAACCAAATAAAGGTGAATTAAAATCACCAATAGAAGTAGACAAGAACATCTCCCAATCCATCACAAATGGGGAACGAATCTGACAATAGAGGTTTCCAAAAGATTGCAAATAGTTGGCAATAGTATAGTTGGAGTAGATCCGCAAAAGACGACAAAGCTCTACACATAACAATCGCTACCAGAGACGATAATTGCCATCCATAACTGCCTTTGTTGTAGAACTGCGAACAGAATTTACCATAAACAATATCTATCGGAGAAACACGAATTGACTCAACCATAGATCGCAAACGTGAAGCTACATCCACTAGTATCGATTGCTCAATAAAGAGTCCAAGAAAAGTAACCCCATGTTAAAACGCCCACAGAAAGAAAAGAAAACACAATGAAGAGGCACAAAGAACAGTGGGAAAGAGAAGAACAAACGACGGGGGAAAGGCGAGGGAAGAACAAACATATGGGAGAAAAAACAGAGGGAAAGGAGAATCAAGATGGGAGAAACCAGAGAACAAAGCTTTGAGAAAACTCAAGAGTAAGCTTCTCTCGAAACACACACACACACAGATGGGAAAAGGAGAAATCCTGAAGGAAGCTACACCAAAAGAAAACCCTAATGATCGCCTCCCTTCCTCAAGCTGTCGTAGATAGCCAAAGTTTCATTTCCTAATTAAATGCATAACAAATGCATACTATAATAGTTAATGCGAAGAAATATGTTACAATCAATATAGTGGGACACGTATCATACACTTTTACTGATGTTGTATCTACTAAGAATCCAAGAGACATAGAATATAAATTTTTATAAATTATTATTTGCATAAAGCCATTAATATATTATTTCTTATTTTAAGCTAAAACATTAATTAATATTTATATAAATATATAATTAATCTAAAAAATATATTGGATTCATTAGAACATAGAAGATCCGAGACAGAAATCATGTGTAGCAATTATATTTTTATTACGAAATCAATTATCTCATATAGTTTTGTATACTAACAAAAAAAATCAATCTTAAATTCTTAAATATTTTATAATTATACTTTTTTGGAAAAAAATAAATATGTTATTAATTATTGTAAATTAAAATATTAATTAATAATTTACAAAATATAATCTTAATTTGAAAATATATTAGGCCTATTAGAATTTCTAAGATGGATATCATATGTAAGTTCATAAATTACTAAAATAATTATTCTGCTTTTAGTATTTTTATTTTTATAAATTGTCAAAATTAAAAATACGTATTTGTTATAAATATGGATTAACGGATTTATAAAAAAATTGCTTTTATTAATGATTTATTTTTTTAAGTTTTTGATTGGACATTCATATATAATATTATTTATTTGAATTACATGTACCCTCAAGTTAAATAAGGCCTATATTATTTAGTGATTTGTAAGACATTGGAAGATGGGTTAGTGATGAACAATCATACATCTTATTTAAGAAGAAACAGGCTTGGGTCTTGCCAATGGCCTTTGAGTAACATTTTAAAAAATGACCCGGAAATGGAACCGTTCTGGGCACTTGTTTCTGGGTCAATGGTCCAATCGTCCGGTTCAAATGGATGGTCCATTCTGACAGCTAAATTAAAAAAATAAAAAAATGGTCAAAAACTGTTGAACAAGTCGACGGTTCGCCGCTTGGGTCAACGGTTTATTAACTTTTTCAACGGTTTTTGACCAGATTTCAGGTTTGGGGTAAAACAGAACTGGTTGCCTGGATGGTTCCTGGGTCGAACGGTCTGACCATCCGGGTCAACGTGGTTTGGAAATGTTGCCTTTGAGGTGATATTTTTTAATCTGTATTTAAAAGTAAAGGACTTGCCAAATAATTTATAAATATTAATTACTGGATTTAATAGATCATTCATTTCATTAATATTTAAAAGGGAAAGACTGAGTTTATTGATCATTTTTTTTCTAATTTTTTATTGTACATTCATATATAAAGTTAATTATTTGAATTGCATGTACCCCCAAGTTAAATAAGGCCTATATTATTTGTAGAAAATTGGAAGATGGTCATCATGGTCTAGCGATGGACAATCATTCCTCCTTTTTTTGAAGACAGAGGTTGAAGTCTTGCCAATAGCTCGTGAGATGTTATTTTTTTAATCTGTATTTAAAAGGAGAGAATAAATCATAATTAATGACATTAATAGTGGTAATTAATGGGTTTAATTTCTTTAAGGTGGAGCTAAGATTTTTAGGGGTAGATTGAATTTTGCTTGTAGATTGATGTGAAGTTCATGGGTAGGATGTAGTTTATAGGGGGGTTACTAAGGGGGCTGCAATTTCAGATTTCTGAGGTGGATTGTAGTCCACTTATCCCTAATATTATAAGGGCCACAATAATGGGGCATAAAAGGTGGGATTTGATGGGTTATGTGGTGCAATTAATAAACACTTAAAATTTGAATTTCACAAAACCATAGGTGATATTTCGAACTTGATGAATTCCAGTTCTGCCGCCATTCGGTCTGATCACATTTTTAGAGAAGTTGGCAGATTTAATGGCAAGCATTAGCCTTGGTTCTGGATTTTCTAATGCTCTTTTTGTGGTTGAAGATTTAGGCTTCAAGATATTTGGGTGCTTTCTCTCGACTCTTTTAGCGTTTTTTTCTTCTATTGGTACAATAGAAAAAGAATTTCAAAATAAATGATTTGTTTTGACTGATATGGAGTATGGACCAATACAAACTGATGTATCGTCCAATACTGTGGATGCAACAATATATACGAGAAAGGTTTTTAAAATCGAACCGGACAACGAATCGATCAGGGGTTTGGTTCTCGGGTCGAATGGTCTGATCATTCAAACTGAATGGATGACTTGTTCTGACAAAAAATTAAAAAAAAATAACGGTTTGACCGCTCAGATCAACGGTTTGCTGACTAAATGAACGGTTTTTGATGAAATAACGGTTCTGAGGTAAAATGGAACCAGTCACCTGACCGATTCCCAGTTTTTTCGGTCCGGTCTGGTTTTGAAAACCATGCATGAGGGTAGTTAATATTTGGCCATTTTGTCCCATGGATATTGATACCTAGAACCTTACTATGGGAGGAATTCGGATTCAGTACTCACACAACTGTTCTCATACGGCCCTTACAGCCTTCTGCAACTGTGAATTGGGAATATGTTTTTATGCATGGGGAGATATTCCTATTGCACAGCTGCAAATGGCTGTAACCTGTAAAGACGGTTTTGTGAGGGCTGAATCCTAATTCTCATGGGAGTGCCAGAAGGGTGGATCGGAAAGATAATTTTAGGAGATGCATCAAAATATGCTTGGGAAATGCGTGGAACCATGGATACGATGGAATCATGGAAAGTTTATAATATATTAGGAAAGCCCGAATAAGTCCTAGAAATGCAACAATGATGCTAAATCTAAGGCTCAAATGATTTCAATTAAGGTATAAAACCGTTTAGTAGCCTGATCTTTGAGTCTAGTGTCACTTTGGTCCCCAAACTTTAAAACACGACAATTCAGTATCCAAGCTTTCAAAGCATGCCAATCCAGTACTTGCCTTTAACTAGCCGTTAAGTGGCATTTGAAAAGACACAAATGCCCTTTTAGTGTCATCTAATTCTTTTCACCAATAATTTAAACGTTGACAAAAATGAACAATCCCATATCCTTGCCTCTTCTATTCAAAAAAGTTGGGGTTACGTCTCAATGGGCATTCTGGTGACCCCAACTTTCTTGAATAAAAGAAGCAAGGATTTAGGAGTGTTCATTTTTTATCAATGTTTGGATGGTTGATAAAGAAAATTAGATGACACTTGAAGGGCATTTGTGTCTTTTCAAATGTTACTTAATGTGAAGAGTGAACTAATGAGAAATAAGGGACTTCTCTCTCCGTGTGGAGAGTTTTTCCTCTCAATGAATTCTTGAGCGATTTTTCCTTTGGATTTTCATTGGTGATCCGTTGTTTGGGTGGCTCCCCTTACAGTCTGTTTGGTTGCTATGACGCGGATGAGAAATATGGAATATTTGGGTTAGATTCTTTGAAACCCGTGTTTGTTTGATGGAATGGTGCAAGAAACGATGGGATATCACTTCTCAAAAATTGGGATGCGGGGTCTCACTAAAATGGTGAGACCTCGGTGAGAAAAGAAAAGCTCGCGACTCAACACCTTGTGACGGCCACCACAACACCAAACTGAACATGCCTCTAAACACCAAATGGTTTCCTAACCATCGGGAACAACACCAGATTGAACTCCCGGCGGCCACTGTGATTCACCCACCATTTCAATTGATGATCAGGTTTCCAACCCCCCAAATGCTTCCCGTTGAACACCATTTTGATGCCAAAACCAACGGTTATGAATGCCATTAACCAATTTCCAACCCCCGAACTGAACATCCTCACATCAGCTCCATGTAGAAACCTAGAGGAGACCAAAACCTGTAGCACAGAGAGAATGTGAGAGAGAGAGAGAATGGGTGGGGAGATCAATAACTTCATCAAGGTATGGATCAATAACTTCACCGGTTTCTGGGTTGACGGTTC